AGTTGAAAAACTATTAATTGATCAATGTCACTCACACTATTTATTTGAAGGTAAAATAAACAAAATTTTACAAATTTTGAAACAACAAATCTTTGATATTATTATAAAGGTCTTATATTCTATAGCCAGTTGTTTGGTGGCTTAACTGAAGATCTTTCACTTTTGTAAAATACATTTTTTAGTCTTTTTCTCATAATTTTTAAACAAAATTTTCATAGCTGAAATAACATCTGTTACCATATCTCTGTGGTAGTTAAAGTTGTGTGTCAACTTGGCTGGGCCATGGGTTTGAGTGGCTAGGCAACTGGATGTAGTTATTCCCCATGAAGAGATTGATAACTCCATGGTAGAATCTGCTATGAGCAGTTGAGTAGCTACCTTAGGGGTGTGATCTGTTCCTAATATATAAGGAGAAGCTTTGAGAAAGGTTTCTGAGGGTTTAGCACATCTGGATTCTGTGTTTGGCTGAGTCTTTGTCTCAGTGGCCTGCCATGTTGCCTGCTGATCTTGGGATTGTTTCTGAACTTGAACCACTTACCCGCCATGTTGTCTGCTAATCTGGATGCTGTGCCGTTTTACCTATTGATCTGTGGTTTGTCAGCCTCAGCAGCCAGCGGCTATGTGAGTCAGATAAAGCCTTCAGCTCTAGTGGCCTTGGAACAGGAGGCAAAACTGATGCCCAAGGTTGAGGGGCCTTCACCCAGCCCCTAGAGCCAGCACTTTGAACTCAGACTTCTAACCTCCTAAACTCTAAGAGAATAAATCCCTGTTTGTTAAAGCCATCCACTTGTGATATGTCGATTATAGCAGCACTAAAGTACCAAAACAATCTCCATCTATAAAAATGGTTTGTATGTGTGTGTATGTGTGTGTGTGTAAGAATTCAAGCCATTTTATAGCTGACCAAATCCTATTAAAAGTCATTTTAAAAATATTTCTTGGGCACTTAATTCTGATTTCAGGCAACTTCATGATTCTTTTCTGACTGTTGAAAAGAAATTTCTTCTCAAATTCACTATATATTTGCTGAAAATATCTCTTAATATTGTCTACTGAATTAACTTTAGAAATATTTTTACACATCAAGCAGTTCATTTTGCTCTTCTACAGCAAAATGTGGTTGCTGTTTGTTGTGAAATTTGCAACATTCCTTATTTCAGTCTGTTATTTTCTTTCCGCATAAAATATTCAGAAATATTTCAATGTTTTATCAGTGTATAGAAAAAAACTAATGCAAACTGAATCAATTCATTGACATCAAGAACGCTGGTGATGGATTATAATACTGGAAACAACACACTCCCCGATAGGAGCACTAAAATAATACTTTATGCAGTGTAGCAGGTAAAGTTACACATAGTCCTACCAAGACAATAAAATTTTGTTTAATGAGAAGTGCTTAATACTCCTTCTGTTATTAAATTTAGATTTAAATTAATTTAAATGAAATAAAAGTAAACATTTCATTCCTCAGTTGCACTAGCCCCATTTCACATGCTCAGTAACCACATCTGGCTATTGACTACCATTTAGGCAACACAGCTCTGTAACATTAATTTTGAAACTTTGATTCATGGCCAACTAATTTAGTGGGTTCACCATTCTTTTTCTTTTAAACAGAGTAGAATGGAATGAAATAGAAGATATTATTTCATCATGTGTAGTAGGATACATATTTTTATGAGACTTTTGATTCAATTGTATATGTATGTATGTAAGTGTGGTACAATGAATTACTTAATATGGCCCTTCTAGCCATGTCTTTGTGACTCCCACCAGGTGATTAGTGGGACTTTGCAAATGTGAGGTGCTTATGTCCCACCAAGGGGATTGGAGAGCTTGCTAATAATGGAAATAAGGTACATGGCATCCCTGTGGGGGTGGGACCATGGCAAAAAGGTATATAGAACCCTAACATGGGGGTTGGTCAGTTTTGTCAGCCTGCTAGACTTAAATGAGACATCCCAGAAGTGGAAAAGGAAGGTCTCAACAACCATGAAGAAAGAAGAGCTAGGATTAGAGTGTGTGCTTTAGATCCAAGATCCCTGTGCTGAACCTCCTTGACCCAGGAGACAGAGAGAGGCACCGTGGAGAGAGGTGAGAGACACTGGATACTATGAGAGACAGTGAGAAGTGGTAGCAGAGAAACAGCGGCAATAGAGGCAGCAGTACCAGAAGACTGGCACGAGATAGAAAGGTGACCTTCCTGACCAATGGAGTGAGAAAGCTGAGTACCTTCTGGCAGGAGACTTACTGATGAAGTGGAACACCTCTCTGGACACCTGTTGTTGTTGTTGTTATTGTTATGTGCCATTGACCCAGACCTGACTCATAGCAACCCCTCCTTGGGTTTCTGAGGCGGCATCACAACGGAAGTAGATTGCCCAACCTTCCTTCCAAGGAGCAGGTGGTGAGTTTGAACTGCCAACCTTCTGGTTAGCAGTCGTGCCTTAAGCACTATGCTACCAGAGCTTGGCAGAGCTAATAGAGCTTTGTAACACTTGTACTAGCAGGGCAGAGGCCGAGGCCAGAGAAAAGCATGCCTACAGTATGGCTGAAAAGCTTTCCTAATTGAAGAACTGTATCCTGAGTTGTTTCTAATCCAGAAGTGTAACCTGATACTTCCCTAATAAACCTCAAAATTGTGAGTATTGTCTGTGGGTTCTGCATGGCCACAGCAATGGATTATCGAACCCAACAGAGAAGTCAAGTGCCGTGGGAAGAACATTTGGTGTCAGAATTGGCAAGAAGGTTGGAGGGTGTCTGCATGTCTGACCTCTGCTTCATAGGAATCATTCTTAGGCTGTTGACTTTGATCCTCCTTCTCCCTTTTGAAGTTAGAGGTCAGATGCTGTGCTCATGTCCTCTTTGCAATATGGGTAGATCACGACATAAAAATACATTTCTTACTCTGAAGTGCAGTAAAATATTTTGAAAATTTCTCTGTAACACTTAGGAGATTGCCTTCTACATAGTAGGTAAAGAAAAAATATTAGTGAAATAAAATTATAACAAGTGGCATACATTTATAAGGTGACAATTTAAAATGATAGTTTTAAACAATGGTATTTTAACAGTTTCTTCATGCAGAGCCAGCTGAAGAGTGTAGACAGCAATACATAAGGCGAGGTTGGGGTCAGACTCTGCTTTAGCTACTCTCTGCT